GAACTTTTCCAGGCCTCAGTTTCACAAACCTAATTTTTGTGATGTAAACTCCCTTGTCTCAGGCAACCAAGGGCCCCAGCCACAGGGCATGCATAGAATTGTAAAAGCTGTATTTTTGTATCAAATATAAACCTCCATATCTTTCCTTTCTCTAATACAACCAGACATTTAAAGTGGGCTTCTGTTGCCAGAGTTTTTCTTTTGCCCCACCAGGTCCCACTGCCCTTCAACCCCAAAATAAGCACACAGAGATATATATTAATTATTAAACTGATGGCTGATGACTAAGGCTTCTTGTTGTCTAGCTCTGTCTTAAGTATTAACCTGTTTTTATAAATCTGTGTATTTCCACATGGTCTTTGCTTACCAGAGAATGCCCGGACCTTTTACTCCTTTGGCGGCTACATGGCATCTCCTCATTGTCTCTCTCTCTGCTTACTGTTCCCAGAATTCTCCTAATCTCCTGGTTCCACCTATCTTCCTGCCTCTATTGGCCAAACAGTGTTTGGACACCCCCCTTCAGGCTTCAGAGAGCAAAAGTCAAAAGGAATATGAGTTGCTAGTCTGTTGTTAAATTAGGTAATACCTTCTCTGTGTCTGTCTTTCTTAGTTCCCAGGTTCAGGCCTAAGGAAGGCCTGTGGGGGTTGGAACATGACTCTGTATTCATACCAAATGTAAGACTCAGGAGGAGTTTGAGGGGTATGAAGTAGAAGGGCTTGGGAACCAAAAGAGACATTAATTTTAATGGATCCTGTGACCAGAGACACTCCATTTGGCAGCATCTGCATCTTCTGCTTTCTTGGGTGTAGTGGATCCATGGTATAATGCCAGCTATCTTCACTACCACAGGAGTGGCGAGAATCACTTTTTAAGCTCCTTTCCAGGTTAGGTCTAGTATCCTTACCTACTCCCTTGACCTAGACAGTATCATTGCACTAGAACAAGGGAAACCTGGTGGTAGACTCAGAGGTCACCTGGATCTCTTGGATAGGCCAACGAATAGCCATTATGGAGGACTGGAGTGCCTTGAGTGCCTTGAAAAAATAAGGTTATGCCAACTCTTTGTCTTTCAGCCTGGGAAGCAGTGCTGGGGTCGGGGGAGGGTTCTCAAACATAATGTTATAGGGGGTAAATCTCTCCCTATACAGTCCAAATTATTTCAGTTTATGCAACTGCTGATCTTCCAAGGTACCTGGTTTCATTTTATATCTCCTGGCAGTCATGGGTGTATCTGTGTCATTAGGCAAGAGGATAGCTGTATTGATGGCAGCTGGTTTCTCAAATTAGACTTGGTTGGGCCAGTACTAGGGCCTGGTACTGGGTCACACAGGCATTAGACAGTCAGTGTTTTGGTGCTCCTCAGAGAAGGGCCTCAACCATGTCATGGTATACTGTCAAAATAATATTTTGACCAAGAGTTAACGTGTTTGTTTGTTTGTTTTCATTAAAGTAGCAGTACCTAAAATTGCTCTTAGACAGGTGGGCCAACCTGTAACTCTGTCCAATCATTTGGACAGATATGTCACAGGGAATTTCTATAGTCCAAAGCTTGAGTTAAAATCCCTTTGGTCTTTTTGTTTTATGGAAAAAACAGATGAAAAGGTTTTGAGACATCTGGAAATTCTATGGCTGGTGCAGAAGTCAAAACTATTTAAAACCTTAAATGCCTTTTGTTTAGACTTAGTCCAGATTAGGGGCTCATAGCCCACCTTTGTGCTGGTGTGTTATATACACTTAGCCATTCCCACAATCTCTGATATCCAGATGCAGCAATGTTCAGCTGCACTGAGGAATTCTTGAACCTGTTTCTTAGTCTTTGATGTTGGGATCTGAAGCATGGCAGCAATACTGCTCTGAAGCAGTAATTTCAGTATTTCTCTGTTTACCATTTATCTTGATGGCCTGTCCATTGTTGAGAGTGGGGTATTGACACCTTCCACTATCAGTGTGTGAGGGCCAATATTCAATTTAAGCTGCAGTAGTGTTTCTTTTACAAATGAGGGTGTCCTTGTGTTTTGGGAGTAGCTGTTAGAAATTGAAATGTCATCATGGTGGATTTTCCCTTTGATAAATATGCAGTGCCCTTCCCCATCTCTTTCAAGTAATTTTTCTTTGAAGAGCCTCACATACATTTTCTATGCTTATGGGCATTTGATATGAGCAATGGGTGTCACAGTTTTCCCCCTGTAGGCTATGGGCCAAACCAAAGTGGTTCACACATGATGTGTCTTTTATAGAGTATTTCCTGGAGCCAGTCATAGTGACTCACAGTCCCAGCTGAAGCAGAAGGATCACCATTAGCTTGAGGCCAGACCTGAGCATGCTCCAAAAACACAGAACAATTTTGTCATTATAGGACCAAGATCTCACCAGGGAACATGTTGTGCAAATTCTACAGTGTGTTGTTTAGAAATAAAATGCAGAATTTTTCTAGGCCAGTGGGAAACCAAGTGGTGATACCTGTTACATGGTTAGACTCCATTAGCTAGAGTTAGGAGATTTTAAAGTGACTGTCACTTTCACTGTATTTTTGCCCTTCTTCATGACTTTGCAATGTATCTTTGTTAATTAGTATATTGAATTAAGAGAGCATGAGGGCTCACATCTGTCATGTTTTATTTTGGAGGCAGGTGCAGGAAGTTCAAGTCTTCTTCCAAGATAAATATGTCTTCTGCTAGTAATAACATTCAGAAACTGAAGCCATGTTATACCTAAACAGTTCCTAGGGGCTGGGAAGATGGCTCAGTAGAAAGTATGCTTATGACATTTGCAAAATACTGAGTTCATTTTCCACACCCTGGTTGCCATTTCTGTCCCTTGTGAATGAGATCAATACCTATTCCAGATTTGTGGCCTTTCATAACACTCTAGTAACTTGTGTCCCATTTATTTTGCTCTTCTTTTTCCTGGGACATCCTTTTGATTCTTTTTGTTTCATTTCTAAAGGCATGGTGTCATATAGCCCGGGCTGTCCTCAAACTTCCTATGTTCCCAAGAATAACCTTCAACGTCTGATCCTGCTACCTCCACCTCTCAAGTGCTATGATAACAGGCATCCCAATCCTTGTCCTCTTTATGGAACAGGAATTGAACTGAGTGACTCATGCATGCTAGGCAAGAATGCTACCAACTGAAATACAACTTTGGTCCCCTTTTTCTCTTTTATTAAGATATTAATTATAATTTTGCTATGTATGTATGTATGACTGTTTTGCCTACTTACATGCCAGTGTACACTGTGTATGCCCATGCAGACCCATACATCCCTTAGGGCTGTAGTTACAGAAGGTTGTGAGTGACTGTCACTTGTCTGCCTGGTATTTACTGATGTTAGACGAGAACATTAAATTCTCTTGACACACAAGTGAGTGCAAAGAACTGATCTAGGACTTCTTCAAAAGCAACGGGTTATCATATCTGTTGACACACCTTTATATACTCCATCTTTTTTATTTTTTTTTTACAATCAGCATTTACTAATGTTTTTGAGAACTCTTTGATCTATCAGTTAGTAACTTATTAAAAATGCATTCCTTTCTAGAATTATTAGCCTTACAATTTACTAGGTGTCACTCTAGTTTATGATTGAGAAGTACAGAATTGAAGTGAATGTTTTAACTCTGTGGAGGACTTTAGAGTGAGCTTCTGATTGCTTTCTATTTGTTTGTCTGTTTGAGACAGGGACTCACTATGTACTCTGGCTGTCCTAGAAATCTCTACAGGCTGGCTTGGAAATCACAGTATCACATGTCTTTGCTTCTTGAGGTTTGGGATTAAAGGTTGGCACCACCATACCCATATTGTCTATCCTTTTTTGAAGTTAATAATTTTGATAAAATTTTGCTGATGTATACTAAATAGTGTTAATCGGTTTGCATGTCTCTCTGTACATATAATAGGCATTTCTCACGCAATGCCTTATTATATTTTATGAGCACAGAAATGGAAGGCATAAGTCTCCTTTTCTGTTTCTCTTTAAAATGTGCTAGGGACTGCATTTGATATTTTATGACCTTTATCATAATCGAGCTCAATGAATTGTGTAAGTATATTCTCAATGAAGTGTGCTTTTGCAATACAGTCAGTCTCAACATTTCTATTATGTACATATATGGGATACTTTAGGACGCAGTGACCTATGAGGATGTGCATGTGAATTTCACTCATGAAGAATGGGCTTTGCTGGATCCTTCCCAGAAGAGTCTCTACAAAGATGTGATGCTGGAAACCTATTGGAACCTCACTTCTATAGGTAGGAATGTGATATTTCTGTCAGTTTTTAACTTAAGGGAACAAACCTTTCTTGGAGATTGTTTCTCTTCTGTGATTTTGAATGTGAAAGAAGTAGAATCAGGTGAATAATTTAGGCATTGTTCAATGATTCACAAAAGAGTAATTTCAGTTGTGCCTAGTTTCAAGTAATATATCACATATGTTTTGGTACTGTATTTTAGGTTACACATGGGAAGACCACAATATTGAAGAACATTGTCAAAGTTCTAGAAGACATGGAAGGTAATTTTCATGTACAAACTCATACATATGTACCTTAGAATAAATGTTAATGTACCCTGAACTTTTAAAGAAAAGCTGCAGTGTAAATTAGCACAGCTATGTGATGGTTTAATTCTCACAACACCATATACTCCAATGTCAGGAGTATGGAAAGCATTCCTTTAAGGATAAGAAAAGGGAACAATGACATAACAGATGTCACAGTTTTAATCAGCCATATGAGGGTCATGTTGTAGAATTGCCATGCCCTTCAATAATTGATAAAGGGGATTAGAGTATCTCCAAGATTTTTTTATAAATAAATCTTCTATATTAAATCTAGTGTTCCTCATATACGTGTAGTGAGTGACTTACTATAATTTAGTGAGAGGAGCACACTTCCTCTTGTAGAAACCTGAATCTATATACCATGTCTTTGAGGCATAAAATATTAGACTATGTGAATGTAAAGTAAACCTTTTATTTGTTATTGTCCCTTTAATAGGCATATCATCTGTTACTCTGGATACAAGCCATGTGAGTATCTGGGAAATGGAAAGAATCATACCTCTGTTTTTCCCAGAACAATTAGAAGATATGTTGTAGTCCCCACTCTAAGCAGACATGATGACTATGATAAAAGTTTATTCTCTCACTTTGAAAAGGAACCTTACGAGTACAGGGAATATGGAAAATCTTCTGTCTGTACTGGTTCACTTTGCACAAGTAATGTGACTCACAGTTTTAAAAAATGTTTTGACTGCAATCACTGTGCTAAAACTCTGAGTCCTTCATGTTCTTTTCAAAGACACGAAGAAAGTCATATGGGAAGAGGAAGTGGTAATCTTGAGCCTTGTATTAAGGACTTTAGCCATCACAGATATCTTCAAACACACAAAACAACCAATAATGAAGAGGATCTCTATGAATGTAATCAACATGGTAAAGCCTTTAGATATGATTCTTTTTTAAAAATACACCAAAGAACTCATTTGGAAGAAAAACCCTATGAATATAATCAAAGTGATAAAGTCTCTGCAAGTCACAATATTTATCAAGTATATACAACTCATTCTGGAGTGAAAAAGTATGAATATCACCAATGTGATAAAGCCTTTACAAGTCCCAGTTATCTTCAAATATATAAAAGAATTCTTACTGGAGAGAAACCCTATGAATGTACTCAATGTGATAAAGCTTTTGCATGCTCCAGTTATCTTCAAATACATAAAAGAAGTCATACTGGAGAGAAACCCTATGAATGCAATCACTGTGGTAAAGCCTTTGCACAGAAGAGTCATCTTCACAGACATGAAAGAATTCATACTGGAGAGAAACCCTATGAATGTAATCATTGTGGTAAAGCCTTTGCACACAAGTATAAACTTCTCATTCATGAAAGAATTCATACTGGAGAGAAACCCTATGAGTGTAATCAATGTGGTAAAGCCTTTGCAGAGAAATGCAATCTTCTCAGTCATGAAAGAAGTCATACTGGAGAGAAACCCTACGAATGTAATCAGTGTGATAAAGCCTTTGCACAGAAGAGTGATCTTCGCAGTCATGAAAGAATTCATTCTGGAGAGAAACCATATAAATGTAATCAGTGTAGTAAAGCCTTTACTCAGAAAGGTAATCTTCGAAGTCATGAAAGAATTCATACTGGAGAGAAACCATATGAATGCAATCATTGTGGTAAAGCATTTGCACAGAAGAGTAATCTTCTCAGTCATGAAAGAAGACATACTGGAGAGAATCCTTATCTGTGTAATCAGCATGCTAAATCCTTTGCACTGGAGGAGAATTTTCTCATTCATAAAAGAAGCCATACAGGAGACAAAGCCTTTGAATGTAAACAATGTGGTAAAGCCTTTGCAAAGAAGAGTCATCTTCTTATTCATGAAAAAATTCATACTGGGGAAAAACCCTACGAATGTAATCAATGTGGTAAAGCTTTTGCATGTAGCAGTAATCGTCACAGGCATGAAAGGTGTCATACTGGAGAGAAACCCTATGAATGTAACCAATGTGGTAAAGCTTTTGCACGTAAAAGTCATCTTCGGAGTCATGAAAGATGTCATACTAGAGAGAAACCCTATGGATATAATCAGTGTGGTAGAGATTTTGCATGTAACAGTCCCCTTCAAATAAAAGAAAGAACTCATAATGGAGACAAACCTTATGAATGTATTCAATGTGATAAAGACTTTGTTTAGTACAGTCATCGTCACAATCCTGAAAGAAGTCATACTTGACCAAAACCCAATGAATGTAATCAGTGTGGTAAAGTCTTTCCATGTTGCATTGTCCTTCAAAACCATGAAAATTTTCACACTGATGAAAATCCCCATGAATCTAATAAATGAGGCCAAGCCTTGCAGTCCACATACATTTTCCCGAACCGAGCTATCTCAATGGTGCTTGAATAAGGTTAGTAGAACTACTCCTTGGTTAAAATATTGTCTCTTTTTCTAGTAAACATTATAGTCTAAGAATAACAGAAACACATGATAATTTGAATAATAAAATGTTTTGTGAATGAAAGTAATATTTATACTGTCATCTATTTTGGGTCATGTTACTTAATTCTGTGAACTAAATATTTGTTTATATATATATTTAGATTAGAAACAATCTTATTTTACATATCAATCCCAGTTTCCACTCCCTCCCACCCTCCCATGTCCCCCACCAACCCCCTCCACACCCCCATCTACTCCCCAGGAGAGCGAGACTTTCCATGGGGGATCATCCGACTCTGTCACATCATTTTGGGCAGGGCCTAGACCCTCCCTCATGTATATAGGCTGAGAGAGTATCCCTCCAAAGGGAATGGGCTCACTCCCAAAGTCCATTCATGCACTAGGAATAAATGCTTGTTCCACTACCAGAGATACCCTAGTAGAGGGCGCCATTACAGGACTAAAGAGAAATAACACACTAGGGAACTATCAAGAGACACATAAGGATGACCCCCACTAACAATCTAAGCAATAGTGGAGAGTTGTTGTGACCACCTCGACCAGCAAGGAAGACGCAACGCTCGGACTCTTCTTTAAGCAGTTTTATTTAGGAACCTTGAACAATCTTCCGACTCCGGGGAAAGCCAGCCCACAGCTTGAAAGCCTTTGGGCAGCCAACCCCAGCATGCCACGTGATGAATGCAGACAGGTCCACATACGCGGAAGCAAGCCAGATCTTCAGCCCTAGCCAAATATGGAGTTGTTTTTGACAGAGAGCGCTCACCATCGGGAAGGTGGAAGGCGGAAGCCAGCACCATCTTAAAGGCGTGGCACTTCGCAGCTCTCTACAGTTCCCCCTTTTTATTTTATAAAATGGAACAGGCAAGAGTAAAGGTGATCTCTGATGCCTAGGGACCTTTGTACTGATCCTCATCCAAATGTCACCCACCCAAATGAGTACCAGACCCATCCGATACCCTTTTCTCAGAGGCAGGGCCTGGGGTATCAACCCGCATGCAATCAGACATGCTCTTCTCCAGGCCGCTAGTGCTGACCCGAGTGTAGTGCTTCACCTCGCATCCTGAGCATGAAGATTTAATTCTTAATGGTAGCTAACCATGCTTGGGGGGGGGGGGGGGACTGTCCTGCTTCAATGACTATAAAGGCTTGAATGATCATAGCTGCATTACGCTGCTGTGTAATTCTGATCCTACACAAACACCACAGGAAAACTAAGGAGGCCAACACCAAGAGGCCTGCTAACGCTCCCGTGCCCACCCATTCCTTCAGATGATTCATAGCAGAAGTCAGCCAAGATGACAGTCCCGACGTGAAGGAAAGGTCCACTCTAATAGAATTCACATTAACCACAGCCAGCCTCAGCTCTTTCAAGGTATCTTCAAATTCAACTGACCAATTCTGTAACAGAAAACTGGACAAAGCCCTCAACAAGTTTACAGCTCTTGTATAATTAACATACTGAACAGAAGTAACGCACAGTCCTTGCATTTTCCATTCACAGCCTAACTGAGCTATCTGCCAAAGTGTGTCCACTTGCTCTTGCACTAGGTCGATGCGCTGATTAACAATCATCAACCCTCCTTTTATTTGAGAATTGAGAGATGTTTGTAAGTCCAAAGCATGAGCCACATTGGCGTACAAAATATTCAAGGCAGAGACAGTCTGAACAGTATTAGACAGGGCTATAGCTGACACTGTAGCCCCAGTGGCTGCAACAGCGATAGCAGTCACCATGGTGGCTGTAATGCCAAAATCCCTCCTGGGCCTAAGCAGGGTCATGCTGCTAGGCGCTACTATAGGAACAGGCACATATCGGGACATAAGAATGACAACTGCCAATGGAAAACTACTGGCATCCCAGCACAAGGCATAATAGCATGTGGCTGGGGTACAATTCAGCCATTTCCCCTCTACACTACCATTACTAACCAACCACACAAAAGGAGGCCAAACACACACAGGGGTAGGAGAAAAAGTCGTATTATACAAACCCCTAAAGGTACTCTTGGCACCCCGAAGCACTACAAAATCCTTGGTAGGAGAAATAGTAGGCTCGGACTGTGGCGACTGATCAAAAAAGTCTCCAAATTTTTGATGATAAATCCAACTAAATTGTCCAAGATCCTGAATGGCCCCTCCAATCATAGCAAAAGGAGTGAGATCTGTACAACTCCCATTTACTCCACAAAGCAACCATAAATCAAAAAGATTCTCAAAATCAACAGCAACGGGATCTTGATTAGTAAAATTAGTTCCCGAGTAAGAGTTAGTAAATCCAGTGCTAATAGCAGGGGAAAAGGAAAAATAACCCTCTCTAACCCAAACTGCATTTCTACTCTGACACCCTGTCCTTGGAAATTTTCCCTCGCCCCCTATATCCCCTTCGCAAAACGGGGCCCACATAGGCTGTGGTGGGGGCAGGCTTTCACCATCTTTACTTGGCCACCATCCTAGCAACCAGGAGGCATTAACAGTTGTACTCCCCGGATTCCATGGAGCTTCAAATCAGCCTGCAGACTGATTATAAAATTGAACACATTCAAACCTTTCACTAACACTTCTAATCAACACAAAACACAAGCTACCCTGTACATTTATACTTCTATTCCCTTCTATAGGACTTTGTTGCTTATCTATGGGTAAATATGCAATACCTAAACTTTTATTGCTAGTAAAAAAGTGAGGAAAAACTTGAGCATTATACATCACCGGCATCGGTTTTGGAAACACTGACAAAACCCCCCATCTCTGCTGCACTATCCCCAGCTGTATCATCATAGGAAGGAGCAGGAGGGTCATCACATTGACAGTCATGACGCTGTTCATGTTGTACTTTTCTAATCAGGCGTTCTGGCACCCACACCGGGTCTTGTTGGTCCTGTGGAAAAACACAAACAAAACCTCGTGCCCGTGTCAGCACGGGATCAGGCCTGCGCCAGAGGCCTGTCAGAATATCTTTCCACTTGACCATCCCTTTTGTGGGGCCATGATAATCTTGATGTCTATCAGCCGCAGAGCGGCCTTGAGCATCCAAATTTTAAAAATTAATAGTAAATAGAGCAAGGGAAAGTCCTTTGGGGTACGGCCGTGGCCTATTCCCCCTTTTTGTTTTTGAAGGCATTCTTTCAATGTGCGATGAGCACGCTCCACAATGCCTTGTTCTTGAGGATTGTATGACAGCCCATGAAGGAGCTGCACTTCCATTTGTTGACAAAAGGAGGCAAAGGCTTGACCTGTATAAACTGGTCCATTGTCGGTTTTTAGCTGCTGGGGCTTACCCCATGCAGCCCAAGCTTCTAGGCAATGAGTTATGACATTGCCTGCCTTTTCTCCAGTTAAAGGCATGGTGTGTATGATGCCTGAACAGGTATCCACAAGCTTCCAAATTCAGATATATGTTTTACATCCATTTGCCAAACTTTTAGAGGGAGCAAACCCCTTGGATTTACTCCCATGCTGGGTGGATGTTGATGAATCACACATTGAGGACAATCCAGAATCACTTGTCGAGCATCTGCTCAAGAAGAATGAAATTTTTGTTGTAATGCTCTGGCATTTACATGAAAAGTCTTATGAAAATTCCTTGCCTTTTCTAAGGTAGAACTCAAAAATATACATTCCATCCTAGTCCACTGATCAACTTTATCATTACCTTTACTTAAAGGCCCTGACAGGCCTGTATGAGCTCTAACATGCTGAACAAAAAAAAAAAAAAAAAAAACAAGTTTTCCTCTGCCAAATTAAATTTTGTAATTGCTGAAATAAAAGGCAAACCGAGCTGGCACTCTTTATAGGTCCAGCCACTTCTAAAACCTTAATGGCATTAACAACATAAGCTGAATCAGATATCAGATTAAAAGCAAAAGGATAGGCCTTAAAGACTTCTATCTTTAATTCTACAATCTGAGGGGAGCCAGGCTGGAACTGATGCAACACAGGCTCCTGTCTTTCTATCATGTAGGCTCCACAGCCTGTCTTAGAACCATCTGTAAATACATTTGGAGCCGTTGAAATAGGCTCAGATGATGTTACCTTGGGAAATATTACAGGGTGTTCCTTAAAAAAATCCCAATAATGGATGCTTAGGGTAATGATTATGTATAGTGCCATCAAATCCACACTGCAAAATTGTCCAATCATCTACTGTGGCACAAATAATTTTAACTTGATGGCTGGAATAGGGCACTATAACTATATTTGGAGCGACTCCAAAATATTGCAAGCATTGTTGGACTCCATTCAAGGCTAATTTAGCCACTGCAGTGGGATAATGTTCAATAGATTTAGCAGGAGATATTTTAAGATAAATCCAAAGTAAAGGTCCCTCTTGCCATAATAAGCCCGTAGGTTGATAATATGTAGGAAGAATGCACATAACAATGTCTTGACCTTCTTTTAACCTCTGTAAAAAGGCGCTCTGTAATCTTTCTTCTACTTTCTGAAAAGCCTTCTTGCCTCTACAGTTAATTGTCTAGGAGAATCTAGGGCAGAATCTCCATTCAAAACATTATACAAGGATTTTAATTCATAATTTTGTAATTTCAAATAACATCTAATCCAATTTATATCTCCTAACAATTTTTGAAAATCATTTAGGGTTTTTAAATTATCTTTTCTTAATTCTACCTTTTGTGGAATAATTTGTTTCCCACTAATCTTAGCTCCTAAATAATTTACCACTTTATCTTTCTGAATGTTTTCAGGAGCTATAAACAACCCTTTCTTTTCAAGCAATTTAATTAAATCTATATAGGCCCACTCTAGCATTTGTTCTTCCTTTGCAGCAAGTAGTATATCATCCATGTAATGAATGCATCTCAAATCAGGGAATTCTTTTCTCAATGGTCCAATAGCTTCTCCAACATAAAGTTGACACATAATGGGGCATGTTGTGGCAGAACCACCCATTCAAATCTTTGATACGGCTCCACATGATTATAAGATGGAACAGTAAAGGCAAATCTCTCACTATCCCTGCTACACAGGGAAATAGAGAAAAAACAATCTTTTATATCAATCACAATTATATGCCAGGATGCTGGTAAGGATGATAGCAATGGCAAGC